GATTTTTAAGCCCCTTAAAATAATTTTAATAATTATTAGAAAACTGAAATTTTTATTAGGAGAATGTTAGCTTGTTTCTCCAAGTAAAAATGCTTGGAGTATCTAATATTGTTTAGATAGACTAAGTCTGTGTCTATTGATTCTCATTAGAAGGGTATTCATTTTGTTTATCAATTTACTTATATTAAAATCTCCATCTTATACAGTATTCATGAGATACAAGGTATTTGTGATCTTAGATGTTTGGGGATCTTTTCTTTCGCACAGTGGTATCTCTTTGTCATCTAAATTATTACTATAAAATATACAGTATGACAGATTATATAGGTAATATATATGTATAATATATATGTATATAGCAGTGTTTGCTAAAGTGCTATGGCTAAAATATATTGAGTTGAGAGGAAAAAATAGAATAGAGGACCCTGAGTGCAACTTTTTCTTTTTTTTTTTGAGACAGAGTCTCACTCTGTTGCCCAGGCTGGAATGCAATGGTGTGATCTCCGCTCACTGCAACCTCTGCCTCCTGGGTTTAAGCGATTCTCCTGCCTCAGCCTCCTCCTGAGTAGCTGGGATTACAGGTGCCCACCACCATGCCTAGCTAATTTTTGTATTTTTAGTAGAGATGGGGTTTCACCATGTTGGCCATGCTGGTCCTGATCTCTTGATCTCAAGTGATCTACCTGCCTGGGCCTCCCAAAGTGCTGGGATTACAGGTATGAGCCACCATGCCCAGCCAACTTCTTCGGTTTTTTAGCAGCATTCAGCTCTCTCCATGCAATCTTTCCCCCATCTTTGTTCATTTCTTTTGCCTGAACTTCATTTATTCAGCCTATTTGCATGTAGCAGTATTAGAATAGGCCTTAAACTATTCCCACAAAATGTATTGCAAAGAATTATGAATTGCTATGACACTCAGTTACCTAATACAAAATGCTGCTTTCAAAAGATTTCAAATACATAGAATATACTTAGACATTATTAGGTTTTATGCAAGTTTTCCAATTTGAAGCTGTTCTAAAATTAAGAGCATAATGCTTTTTCTGGCAAGTTGAAAATAGGATAACCAGTGCATGATAATGGTTCATATAAGCAACAACAACAAAAAAAAACAAGAAAAATTAAGAAGTTTTGGCAGGCATAGAAAACTGTTTTGAGTGGAGATTTAAGAATAGATGGAGAGTTAACATGCAGAGAGACAGCAGGAAGCCATCCAGATGGCAGAGCCAAAGCAAAGAAGATCCTTCTGTCTGGCCTAGACCTTAGTGAGATCTAGAAGGTACGAGCTACATTCAATAGAGAAAGAAAGCCAAAAGGAACAGGAAAGCAAGAGAGGTTTCTGCGGCAGGTTGGAATGAACCCACAAATTATAAAAGAAAAACAGGCCAGGTATGGTGGCTCATGGCTGCAACCCCAGCGCTTTGGGAGGCCCAAGCAGCAGTTTAAGACCAGCCCAGGCAACATAGTGAGACCCCATCTCTGCAGGATAGTTTGTTTGTTTCTTTATTTTTTGAGACAGAATCTCATTCTGTTGCCCAGGCTGGGTGTAGTGGCATGATCTCGGCTTACTGTAATCTCCGCCTCCTGGGTTCAAGTGATTCTCCCACCTGAGCCTCCCAAGTAGCTCAGGTTACAAGCATGCACCACAATGGCCAGCTAATTTTTGTATTTTAAGTAGAGACAGGGTTTCACCATGTTGGCCAGGCTGGTCTTAAACTCCTGACCTCAAGTGAGCTGCCTGCCTTGGCCTCCCAAAGCGCTAGGATTACAGGCATGAGCCATGGTGGATGTAGTGGTGCCCGCCTGCCCCAGCTACATAGGTGGCTGAGGCAAGAGGATTGCTTTGAGTCCAGGAGTTTGAGGCTGCAGTAAGCTACGATCATGCTACTGCACTCCAGCCTGGATGACAGAGTGACACCCTGTCTCTAAAATAAATAAAATAAAATACGACAAAACCAAAAGCATTATGGATGAGACCCTGAAAGCTAGGTTTTGAGAATGTTCTCTGCCAAATTATTGACCACTCTGGTTGATGCTAAGTGGCATAATCTTTGCTTTTTTTCTGTCTTACCCTCCCTTTCTGAATTCACTCTATCCTATCATACCTTGGTTTTTGCACAGATGTTTAGGAAGCGCTGCAGAGTTTTAAGGTTACTCTTCTAAGTGGAACAAAATTCAAGTTGGTTGTATTGGTTGATAATAGCATTAGGTAAGAGAAGTTCCATGTTGCTTTGTTCCCAGAGCCCTCCAGTTTCCAGTTTTGCTCTGGACCTGACTGCCTTCCTGACCTGCAGTGCCACTGTGGTCCTGGAAGCAGGCCTTTCTCTGACAAGCTTTTTTCCCTCCCAGGGGCCCTCTGCATTTCACAGAGCCTACATTTTCTTCTTGCTGAGTGGGAAGTTTTGTTCATACCCTGAATATATGAAAGGGCAATTTTCCATTTCCACACTTGATGAATAGATTGGATAGATAAGTAGGTAATCATTTTTCCTCAATTGAAACAACTTTTTTTTTTTTTTTTTTTTTGAGACGGAGTTTCGCTCTTGTTACCCAGGCTGGAGTGCGATGGCACGATCTCGGCTCACCGCAACCTCCGCCTCCTGGGTTCAGGCAATTCTCCTGCCTCAGCCTCCTGAGTAGCTGGGACTACAGGCACGTGCCACCATGCCCAGCTGATTTTTTGTATTTTTAGTAGAGACGGGGTTTCACCGTGTTGACCAGGATGGTCTTGATCTCTTGACCTCGTGATCCACCCGCCTCGGCCTCCCAAAGTGCTGGGATTACAGGCGTGAGCCACTGCGCCCGGCCGACTTTTTTTTTTTTTTTTTGTAAAGATGGGGTCTTGCTTTGTTGCCCAGGTTAGTCTCAAACTCCTGACTTCATGCTATCCTAATGCCTCAGCCTCCCAAACATCATTTATTGAAGAGACAATTTCTTTCTCCTGCTATGCTTTATATAGTTTTAGTACCCTCTCTTATTTTCCCTCAGTATATTATTATATTTTCTTCACTTTTATTTTTATTGATTGAATGAGTGAGAGAGGGTCTTGCTCTGTTGCCCAGGCTGGAGTGCAGTGGTGTGATATCAATTCACTGCAATCTCCACCTCCTGGGCTCAAGCAATCCTTCCACCTCAGCCTCCCAAGTAGCTGGGGCTACAGGAGTGTGCCACCATGCCTGGCTGATTTTTGTAATTTTTATAGAGTTGGGGTTTTGCTATGTTGGCCAGGCTGGTCTCAAACTCCTGAGCTCAAACAATCTGCCCACCTTAGCCTCCCAAAGTGCTGGGATTACAGGTGTGAGCCACCATGCCTGGCCCACTTTTATATTTGAGGGGTTTTGTTTGTTTGTTTGTTTGTTTTGCTGTCTAGATAGTCCTCTGTTTCCTTTGAGTTTATTCCCCTCTGTATATTTGTTCTGATATCTGACTTTTATCTTGGAATTTTTTTCCAAGTATCTATTGACCATTGGCACTAACAAGCTGATTGAAGCTCCATCTTGAGAGCTCCAGCTTGGTGACTGGTGTGCTTTACCAGAAGGTAACCTGGTAGGGATCTAAGTCTTTCTTTGGGAGAAGCTCAACCAACCTAAGTGCCTTGGGGCCTTTTTATCTGGTGATCATTCAGTTTCTCCAGAAAAACTCTTCTACTGTACTCTATTAATTGCTGAAGTTGAGCCAAGCTGCCATTGTTTGGGGAGCCCATCTGGGAAAGAACGGAAAGACTACATGGCTAGTAAATGGTAGAGGTGATGTACATTCAAGTTGTGTGATTGTGAACCCCTCGTTTTGGGCCACTGTGGTTATTGCCTCCTGTTTTGAATCCTAAGAGGAGCTTCACAGCATTTTTTTTTTTCTAATTTTCTTTTGTGGTAAATACACACATAAGATTTACCATCTTAATCATTTTTTAAGAGTACAGTTCAGTGGTATTAAATACATTCATAATGTAATGTAAGAATCACTGCAATTTATCTCCAAAACTCTTTTAATCTTGTAAAACTGAAACTCTGAACCCATTAAACAATAATTCCCCATTCCTTCCTCTCTCCAGCCCCTGGCAGCCCCTTTTAGTAGCGTGTGTGTGTGTGTGTGTGTGTGTGTATGTGTATGTGTATGTGTATGTGTATGTGTGACAAATTGAAGCCAGACGCAGTGGCTCACGCCTGTAATCCCAGCACTTTGGGAGGCCGAGGTGGGCGGATCACTTGAGGTCGGGAGTTCGAGACCAGCCTGATCAACATGGTGAAACCCCGTCTCTACTAAAAATACAAAATTAGCTGCCTATAATCCCAGCTACTCAGGAGGCTGAGACAAGAGAATTGCTTGAACCCGGGAGGTGGAGCTTGTGATGAGCCGAGATCATGCCATTGCACTCCAGCCTGGGTAACAAGAGCGAAACTCTGCATCAAAAAGAAAAATTGAGACAGGATCTTGCTCTGTTGCTCGGGCTGGAGTGCAGTGGTGTGAACACGGCCCACTGCAGCCTTGACCTCCTGGGTTCAAGCAATCCTCCAACTTCAGCCCCCTGAGTAACTGGGACCACAGGTGTCACCACGCCTGACTAATTCTTTTTAACTATTTGTAGAGATGAGGTCTCCCTATATTGCCCAGGCTAGTCTTGAACTCTTGGGCTCAAGTGATTCTCCTACCTCAGCTATTCAAAGTGCTCAGATTATAGGTATGATTTCTACTTTCTGTCTCTTTAATTGTTGTCTTTTCTAAGTACCTCATGTAAGTGGATCAGAGTATTTGTCTTTTTGTGACTGGTTTATGTCACCCAGCATAATGTTCTCAAAGTTCATTCGTGTATATGTTAGAGTTTTTTCCCTTTTTAAGGCTGCATAATATTTCAGCTTTACAGACTTTTACATCAAGTTTTTTCTTATTGTAGATAAATAGCCCCTATTGGTCCTGTATATAAGACAGTTAGGAAGACTGTGTAAATGATTAGATTTAATTATTTGCGTGGTAGAGATTTATAATTTGTTCTTAATTTGCAGCTTTTTTCAAGGAGCAAACCTCCAAGGGGCCTGTATGTTTATGGAGATGTTGGTAAGTGTATTAAAATAAGTTTTTGGTGGGCAAAACAGAAAGTTTCCCAGCTTTTGTTCAGGGATAATTTCTATTTCTATCCTTCAATCTATACCAGCAAGGGAGTAGAATGAGGCAGGGTAATGTAGGGAGAGAAGAAAGGGGAGAGAGGGCAGTTATCTCAGCTTTTACTTTACTTCTTATAGGGTACGGCTGTAGTCTAGGGAAGAATTAGTCACCGTGTTAGGGTGCAAACATTATTTAATGTATTAAGTAATTAATCTCAGGGAAGGAAATCATCTATAAATAGGTTATTAGGTTATTAGGATTCCATTACTCATTAACTCAGCTTAATACTTTTTTTAAAAAAATAAGCTGTTCTTTTTTTTTTTTGCATTTTTTAAAAATCATAGTTTAAGTTCTGGGTTATAATTGTAGAACGTGCAGGTTTGTTGCATAGGTATACACGTGCCATGGTAGTTTGCTGTACCCATCAACCTGCTATCCACATTAGGTATTTCTCCTGATGCTATTCCTCCCTGGCCCCTGCATCTGCTGACAGGCCCCAGTGTGTGATGTTCCCCTTCCTGTGTCCATGTGTTTTCATTGTTCAACTCTCACTTATGCGTGAGAACATGCAGTGTTTGGTTTTCCGTTCTTGTGTTAGTTTGTTGAGAGTTATGGTTTCCAGCTTCATCCATTTCCCTGCAAAGGACATGAGTGCATCCTTTTTTATGGCTGCATAATATTCCATGGCGTATATGTGCCACATTTTTTTAATCTAGTCTTTCATTGATAGGAATTTGGCTTGATTCCAAGTCTTTGCTATTGTGAATTATGCCGCAATAAACATACTTGTGCATGTGTCTTTATAGTAGAATGATTTATAATCCTTTGGGTATATACCCAGTAATGGGATTGCTGAGTCCAATTGTATTTCTGGTTCTAGATCCTTGAAGAATTGCCACACTGTCTTCCACAATGGTTGAACTAATTTACATTTCCACCAACAATGTAAAAGCATTTCTATTTCTCCACAGCCTCACCATCATCTATTGTTTCCTGACTTTTTAATGATCGCCATTGTAACTGAGATGGTATCTCACTAAACTAAGCCCTTAGATGAATAATTTAGTTGTTCTTATCTTTAATTTAGTTGATAGTAGATACTCTGAATGCATAGGTGGTAACGTTTCCTTGGTCTCCCAGTTCTAGACGTTGGGTAGAAAAAGATTCACACTTTGATGGAAACCTTCTGAGTGGTCACTTCTTTCTAGGCTTTCCTAATCATGTAGTGTCTTGCTTATGAAGTCTTCCTTGACCTCATTCATACTGAAATACTCTGTTTTGTGGTTTCTATTTTCTTCAAACAAATCCTTTTCTCCTATTCTTAAACCTCTCCTTGGCTACCTTCAGTCACTGATGTCATGAAGGGGTTTCTGCTTGGCTTTATTGCCTCCTTGCTTTCAATTATTTCTTTGATGTCTTTTTTAATTTTTTAATTTTAATTTTTTGTAATCCCTCAGTTTACTGTCAATCAATTATTTCTTCTTTTGGTATACTCAAAACGCACATTCACATGTAACAAGATCAGTTTTGGACCTAAACTAATATTCACACTCTAGGCTTCTCTATAGCCACATTTGCGTTATGAGGGAGTGGTGGCAGCAAATATTATCTTAGTGAAATTTTTAGGAAAAGAAAAAAAAAATGGGCATTGAATAAGTAGTTTTAGTGCCTTAAAGATAAAACTGTTCTTTCCCCCTCCTTCTTTTTCTAATTTGTCTACTGATGCCTTGCACCGAATGTTCATTTTATATTTCCAGATTTAGCTAATCTAATAAAAGAGAATAATTTAGCTCACAAAAGTGAGCATTAGAGATTGCCCATTAAAATTCTTCAAGTTCTTGAAAGTTACAGAAAAGCTCAAACTATTCTTTTTCTTAGTTCATTGGCTAATTGGTACTTTTGAGACCGTTGTATACTTACTTCTTATTTAGAAAGGAATTTATAACAGACACTTGATTGATTTTTTGTTTCTGTACCTTTGTGTACCATTAATGATTCTCTGCCTCCTGAGAACATTTACTTCCAGTACCTTCAGTTTCATATTCAGTCATCGCTAAAATCAACAACTTTGTTCCTCCTGTTACCTTAACCACCTGACCGTAAATGGAGATGGTTAATAAAGCATAACTGCTTCCACTTCTGTAAAATGACTTTTTTTTTTAAACCCTATGAATGTTGTTGAATTTTAGTTTAGAAAATATAGCCATATAGTAACTAATTGAAGGAAGGCACATTACACGTCACTCATCTGAGTGCTTGATAGCCATAGAAAAGATGTGATAATACGGGATGTTCATATAGTTTGGGTGTGTGGCAACCTTTGGTTGGAAACATCTTTATAATATAGAGAAGGGAAGAGAAAGGAATTCTGAAATGGGAAATGAGACGGATATTTTGGTGGCTATAATAAGTTTAGTTCAGACTACTTTTAAAATAGAATAGGTCAGGCATGATGGCTCACACCTGTAATCCCAGCGCTTTGGAAGGCTGAGGCGGGTGTATTGCTTGAGCCCAGGAGTGCAAGACCAGCCTGGGAAACATGGAAAAACCCTGTCTCCACAAAAAATACCAAAACTAGCCTGGTGTGTTGGTATGTGCCTGTAGTCCCAACTACTGGAGAGGCTGAGATGGGAGAATCACTTGAGCCTGGGAGGTCAAGGCTGCAGTGAGCCATGATGATGCCACTGCACTCCAGTCTAGGCAGCAGAGTCAGACCCCCATCTCAAAAATGAAACAAAGTAGGTAACAAAAGATCAAGTTTTCATTTTAGGGGGCTCTCTGTCTGGGAGAGCAGCCTCAAAATGCCACCATAAGCTCTTGTTCTTTATTCTTTTCCTTTTTTGGACTTGGAAAACAGATATTATATTTTAAGAAGGCTGGGCATGGTGGCTCATGCCTGTAATCTCACCACTTTGTGAGGCTGAGGCAGGATGATCACTTAAGGCCAGGAGTTTGAGGCTAGCCTGGGCAACAGGGTGAGACCCCATCTCTACAAAAAAATTAAAAAGTTAGCTGAGCGTGGTGGTGTGTGCCTCTGGTTCCACCTACTTGGTAGGATGAGGTGGGAGGATCACTTGAGCCTGGGAGATCAAGATTGCAGTGAGTTGAGGTTGCACCCCTGCACTCCAGCCTGGACTGCAGAGTGAGGCCCTGTCTTAAAAATAAACAAATAAATTGAGCTAGGTGTGGTGGCTCACACCTATAAACCCAGCAACTTTGGGAGGCTGAGGGGGCGGATTACTTGAGGTCAGGAGTTCGAGACCAGCCTGGCCAACATGGTGAAACCCTGTCTTTACTGAAAATACAAAAATTAGCCTGGCATGATGGCAGGTGCATGTAGTCCCAGCTACTCAGGAGGCTGAGGCAGAAGAATCGCGTGAATCTGGGAGGCAGAGGTTGCATTGAGCTGAGGTCACACCATTGCATTCCAGCCTGGGTGACAGAGCAAGACTCTGTCTCAAAAATAAATTAAAATAAATAAATAAAATACAGAAGTAAACTTAAACAAATAAACATGCTTGAGCCCAGGAATTCAAGGCTAGCTTGGGGAACATAGCGAGACCTCATCTCTTATGTTTTTAAGAAAAATTTAAATAAATAAATTTTTAAGGAGACTTCATGGGACAGACAATACCTATCCGGTAGCACTCCCTTTCCACTCTTCATTCTTGCACTCTATTTGGGCTTTGTCCTGCTCACTTCACCTCTTTCTTCATGGATATGTTGAGATGATTGACTCAGATGGACCTTAAATCCTGAGAGCTGCAGTAGAGTTGATGAATGAGTTGGAGGGATTATTATCATGGTTCAATCTTGAAATGAAATATTTTGTTATAAAATGTTTATCACATCCCATGTAGAAGCCAAAGGCTGCAGTCGTAGTATTTTGTGGCTTCATTCATACCCTACAGCTGGCTTTCTCACAACAAAGTCTCAGCTCTTGACCAGCCAACTGCGGTGGTGATGGCAGGGTTAATGATTTCTCTAGTACATTAGAAGAGAATAAAAGTACATTTTGCTTATCAGCCCCTTTTCTGCTGCCTCCTGGTTCCACCTCACCTGTTTCACATTGACACTGGGCTCTAATTTCACCAGTTGAAAGGTAGTCTGGTTTTAAGGTTAGGAGTTACGAAGCTTGGATAGGTTCTTGCCTGGCTTGGATGCAGGGATACATGTGCCTACTACACACCCAGGATGTATTATAGAACCTATTACCCCTGTGCTACAAATCTGTACAGCATGTTACTGTGTCGTATACTGTAGGCAATTGTAACACAGTGGTATTTGTGTATTTAAACATATTTAAGCAGAGAAGGTGCAGTAATAACACAGTCTAAGAGATAAAATATGGGATGCCTATTTGACCATGAATGGACTGGATGTTGCTCTGGATAATTCAGTGAGTGAGTGGTGACTGAATGCGAAGGCTGAGGACATTCCTGTTTACTACTTTATACAAGATGTTATCAGCGCTGTGCACTTGGGTTACACTAAATTTATTAAAAAAAAATTAATTGTGCTTCCATGTTATGATAGCTATGATGTCCCTAAGTGATAGGAATGTTTTAACTCCGTTGTAATATTATGGGGTCACAATTGTATATCTGGTCCTTTGTTTTTTTGTTTTTGTTTTTGTTTTTTACAGAGTCTTGCTCTGTTGCCCAGGCTGGAATGCAGTGGCACAATCTCGGCTCACTGCAACCTCTGCCTCCCAGGTTCAAGTAGCTCTCCTGCCTCAGCCTCCCAAGTAGCTGTTACTATCGGCCCACACAACCATGTCCAGATAATTTTTGTACTTCTAGTAGAGACAGGGTTTCACCATGTTGGCCAGGCTGGTCTCGAACTCCTGACCTCAAATGATCCACCCACCCCGGCCTCCCAAAGTGCTGGGTTTATAGGCGTGAGCCACTGCATCCAGCCTGTGTAGTCCATTGTTGACCAAAATGTCATTATATGCGTTACTGTTTATAGAAATGCAGTTGATTTTTTGATGACCTTGTATCTATGATCTTGCTAAATTTAGTTATTAACTCTGGTGGTGATTTGATAGATTCTTTAGGATTTTTTTGTTTGTATACAATTAGGTCATCTGTCAGTAAAGACAGTTTTACTTCTTTAAATTTTTATGCCTTTTATTTCTTTTTGCTGCCCCTTTGCACTACTAGGACCCCCAGTACAATGCTGAATAGAAGTAGTGAGTGTAGACATCTTTGCGTCAAATTATAGGGGATAAGTGTTTAGTCTTTTACAAATAAGCATATTAACTATAGGTTTTAAAAATATATTCAATTGTTTTTACTATGGCAAAACTCATAAAATTTACCCTTTTAAACATTTTCAGTGTATAATTCAGTATCATTAAGTCTGTTCACATTGTTGTACAACTGTTACCAGCATTCATCTCATCTTCAGAACCATTTTTATCTTCCCAAACTGAAACTCTGTGTCCATTAAACAATAACTTCCTATTCTGCCTCTCTCCCATGTTTTCCACATCCCACCCCCTGACTCCTCTGGTCCTGGCAAACACCATTCTACTTTCTGTCTTTATGAATTTGATTATTTCCAATACCTTACGTAAATGGAATCATACAATATTTGTTCTTTTGGGTTTGGATTATTTCACTTAGCAAAATATCTTTAAGGTTCATTTATATTATTGTGTATTACATATGAGTTGGATTCCTTTTTATGGCTGACTAATATACTTGGTATGCATGGGGGATTGGTTTCAAGATCCCCTTGGATACCAAAATTTGAGGAAGCTCAAGTCATATAAACTTTGCATGTTGTCCTGTATACTTTAAATCATCTAGATTACTTATAACAATGTAAATGTTACATAAATGTTATAATAGTTATTATGCTATATTGCTTTTTGTTTACATGATGATGATGATGATGATTATTATTATTTTGAAGCAGGGTCTTGCTCTGTCACCCAGGTTCTGGAGTGTAGTGGCTGGTTTCTCAGCATGCTGCAGCCTCTACCTCCCAGGCTTAAGCAATCCTCCTGCCTCAGCTCTTTGAGTAGCTGGGACTACAGGCATGCACCATCATGCCCAGCTAATTTTCATATTGTTTTTGTAGAGACGGGATTTTGGCATGTGACCCATGCTGTTCTCAAACTCCTGGGCTCAAGTGATCCGCCTGCCTCGGACTCCCAAAATGCTGGGATTTTAGGCGTGAGCCACTGCGCCTGTTCCGCACAGTATTTTTTATTTTAAAAATATTTTTGATCCACTCTTGGTTGAATCTGGGAATGTGGAAATAGATACAGAGGGCCAATTGTATCATTTTATGTGTATACCACTTTTTGTTTATCCATTCATCCATTAATGGATGTTTGGGTTGTTCCATCTTTTGACTATTGTGAATAATTCTGCTGTGAATATTGAAGAATAAGTTTCTGAATCCCTGCTTTCAGTTGTTTTGTGCATACACTCAGAAGTGGAATTGCTGGATCCTGTGGTCACACTATGTTTAATTTTTCTTTTTTTGTTTGGACACAAAGTCTCTCTCTGTTGCCCAGGCTGGAGTGCAGTAGCACGATCATAGCTCACTGCAACCATGAACTCCTGGGCTCAAACAATCCTCCCATTTCAGCCTCCCGAGTAGCTGGGACTATAGGCATGTGCCACCACACCTGGCTAAGTTTAAAAATTTTTAGTAGAGATGAGATCCTGCTATGTTGCCCAGGCTGGTCTTGAACTCCTGGGCTCAAGTGATTCTCCCTCCTTGGCCTCCCGACATGCTGAATTTATAGGTGTGAACCACTGCACTCAGCCTGTGTTTAATTTTTTGAAGAATTACCATACTGTTTTTCACAGTGACAGTACTATTATTATTCCCACCAACAATGCACAAGGTTGCAATTTTTATACGTCCTTGCTGACACTTCTTATTTTCTGTTTTTTTTTTTTTTTGTAATAGGCATTCTAATGTTTGTGAAGTGGTATCTTGTAGTTTTAATTCGCTTTGCCCTAATGATTAGTGAATACATTTTTGGTTAGATAATTCATGACTTTACTCTGAATCTATAAGTATACTACGCTACATGCATCAGAATTTGAAACTTTATTAAATCTTCTGGGTAAATACAATTATTTAAAATCTGCTAATCACTATATCAAGAGATACTGTACTGAATATTTTTGCAATGAATGACTTTCCATCAAAGTGACTTTTTCATTAAAAAAACGTCTGGTGAATTGTTTGTTCATATACAAAAACACTCTGACATTCAAATGGCATGGACCCAGTGTTATCTTGTGGCATGGAGGAAACCCAAAAGATAGGACTCAGATCTTCTTACTTCCTGAAGTGCCTTTGGATTCTAGTAATTGCAAAGGAATTACTAGACAGGAAGTAATCTTGTGGTGGTGGGAGACGGGGAAGTAGGGAGGATGTGAGACTGGACCAGCACATGCTGGCCTGGCTTACTGAAGAATGCCAGGTACAAACTGAGCTTGGGTCACTGACCCGAAAGCCCTAGACTTTCTGTGAGGGAATAAGGCATTTTGTGCATACCTGCATTAAATGCTCAGGCTGTTGGCTATTCAATTACAATAGTTTCCCTTTATTCACAGAGGATAGTTCCAATGGATGCCTGAAACCTCACATAGTACTGAACCCTGTATATCTATGTTTTTAAAAGAGAAGGCCACTAAGTAACTAACGGGAGGTTAGTGAATACAGTGTGGATATGCTAGACAGAGGTATAATTTATGTCTTGGGTGGGATGGAATGGGATGGTGTGAGGTCTCTTAGTGCTACTCAGGATAGCTGCACAATTTAATACTTATGAATTGTTTATTTCTGGAATTTTCCATTTAATATTTTTGGACTGTGGTTGATTATGGGCTTTGGGTAACTGAATTCTCAGATAAGAGGGTTCTACTGTACTAATGCGATTAAAATTAAAAGTTTTAGAGTGTTGAAAATTAGATAATTTAATTATAAGGATTGATCGTATCAGAATTTCCTCAAGTAGGCCTTATTTTGAGAGATCTATATTCTGTTTTTAAAAAATGGAAGTGTTCTAATTGGCAGCTCTCCAGCTCTAATCTACATATATGATTCCTTTTCAATATTTATGTTAGATACTAATCTTTATTTTTCACCTTTCTTCTCTTCTTCTTCTTTTTTTTTTTTTATGAGGTGGGTTCTCACTGTGTTGCCCAGGCTGGTCTTGAACTTGTGGGTTCAGGCAACCCTTCCACCTTAGCCTCCCGAAGTGCTGGGATTACAGGTGTGAGCCACCATGCCCAGCCCCTTTTCTTATTTTTCATTTTTGAATTTTCTCATAGTGCCTAAAACAATTCCTCCTGCATAGTAATAACCCAATAAATATTTAATTACTTAAGTGATTTTATTTATGCTAATGTCTTTAGAAGAGAAGACTAAATCTTGCCAGTTTATGAAAATAGTTTTCAGGGGGAAATAGCCCCTGTAATATTAACTAAATGTTGTATTTCCTAAAAACAGAATTTTAACAGAAAAGATTAATATCAACGTTTTATTTTTAGCTAGTTTAATATACAAAGTAAACTCTCCCTTCTAAAGAAGTGACATAGTCTTCAGCTTCCCAGCAGAAGAGTGTGGTTTCATTATCTCAAAGCTAATGAACCATCATTACAGCAATCAGTACATACTGTTTAATAGTATTCTTAATTTTTTTTAATTTTTTTATTTTTAAGGTACAGGAAAAACAATGGTGATGGACATGTTTTATGCTTATGTGGAAATGAAGAGGAAAAAACGGGTTCATTTTCATGGTTTCATGCTAGATGTGCACAAAAGTAAGCAATCATCTGAAAGAAGTGATTTTTTTAGTGGGGAAACACTACAAAATGGTTTTCTTCATTGAATGAACATATAATCTTTATAAAATTAGATTTTTGCTTGCAGTAAGATTTTATTTGGTTCCACTTGTTTTGTGCTATGTTGAAACAGTCAGTAATGTGTCCAGAGTTGGTCCTTAAGACCAATTTAATACTTTTAAATCAGAGAACAGAGATTGCTGTATTAAGCTCAGGCATTTTCTGTTTCTACTAAGGGTCAATAAAAAATGTTAAAAATGCACCTGTTTAAAGAAGTGATTCTTGATTAGGTCCTTTACTCTGTGTTACCTTAGCATGTAGGCATTCAGTTTGAGTATGCATGTAAATTTTATTGCTTTGCTAGCGATCTTACGTTATTTCATGTTTGCAAGATTTGTCTACCATCTGCACTATAACCTCCCCAGAGCAGGAATCATTTGTTTTTTTCCTCTAATACTTGTAGCATTTAGTACACACATAATGAATGAAGTGGACTGGGAGTAGTGTATTAGGCTAGAGACAAGGGTGCACTCCGATTCCATATGCCAGACATAAGATGCACTACTTGGGCAGGATCACATCCTCTGCTCTCATTCCCGAAATACAGGACTAAGATGGATGTGTTGATGCATCTAGTCACTTGTCTATTACCTTGTCATTTCTGAAATGATTGAAGAGTAGAAATGGAATGACCTCGAAGTTTCCTTACAACTATACGAACATAATATTGGAACAACTTATTTTGAGATAAGAAAATGCAAACAATTTCAGTAATCAAATTTGATTATATGTGGAATTTGAACTTAATTTTATGTCCGTACTAAAGTTTCATTTAGAGATTTAAAAAATATAATTATCTAAAATGTACTAATATGTTTTATCTGTGTTTAATTTCATCCATTTAAGGAATACATCGCCTTAAACAAAGTTTGCCGAAAAGGAAACCAGGATTCATGGCTAAATCCTATGACCCAATAGCTCCCATAGCTGAAGAAATCAGCGAAGAAGCATGTCTCTTATGTTTTGATGAATTTCAGGTAAAGTAGAGATTTTTCATAGATGTAGAATAGTATATTGAATGAGGTATGAAGATTTAAATTTTGCTCCTGATTTTGTCATTGTTTTATAAGGTGATTTGACACATTATCTCTTACTGCTTCAATTTTACTATCTAGTTCAGGAGCTGGCAAACCACAATCTGCACAGCTGCACAGGGCAAATCTGACCTGCCTGTTTTTTTATGGTTAGCGAGAAAAAGAAGAGTTTATACACACACACACACACACACACACACACACACACACACACACGCACACACACATATTTTAAGAGACAGGGTCTTGCTCTGTCACCCAGGCCCAGGCTGGAGTACAGTGTCATAATCATAGCTCATTATAACCTCAGACTTCTGGGTTCAACCTCCTGCCTCAGCTTCCTGAGTAGCTGGAACTATAGGCTCATGCACCATACCCGGCAAATTTTTAAAACAGATTTTGTCGAGATTAGGCCTCTCTATGTTTCCCAGCCTCATCTCAAACTCCTGACCTCAAGTGATCCTCCAGCTTCAGCCTCCCAAAGTGCTAAAATTACAGGCATGAGCCATGATGCCCAGCCAAGTGTTTATATTTTTAAAGGTAGCTGAAAGAAGAAGAAGAAGAAAAAGAAGAAAGTGCAACAGAGACCTTATGTGGCTTGCAAAGCCTAAAATATTTGCTATTCAGTCTTTTATAGAAAAAGTCTGCACACCTCTAAATTTTGGTAGATGACTGTACATCTCCCCTATACCACAAAGATAATGTAATTATTGTAAAACAATGTCTTTAAAGATGTTCGAGTATTTTTAAAAAGTGTTATATAAAGAACAAGTGATTCATCTCATTTAAGCCTCACAACATACGTATCTGTGATAAAGGGAGGGAATTGCCTTAGTTGAACTTTTAAAGTTTCTCTTAGTTTTAGGATTCCCTGAAATTATGCATTTAAATTGGTAGTGAGTTATTTCCTGTTCTTCTGTGTTTTATAATCCGAATTAGTGGGAAGATGCTATGGCCAAGATGCTTTTATCCCAAATCATGCATGACTGGTCTGCTTTAGCAACTGGTACACATACCTAACAATAGTCTAGATTTATGATGGAGGAGAAAGAATTTTCACCAGCAATGCTGTTACACTAAACCATCTGGGGAAGAGGGATCTTTGCTTCTTTCTTCCTTCAGTCATATTAAGACAGACTGGACCACTTTTGTATTTAGAACTGCAAAGGTCTTCCAAGGAAAGGCTTTGTGGAAAAGAACAGATGCTCTCCTGCCACTCTGAAGAGACATACTAACCACATCAATGTTTTGCAGAAAAAGGGCCTCGCTGAGTTGTTTGAAAAAGCTCTAAGTTAACAGTTATACTGCTTTCAAGAACAAAAGTCAGTGATGAATCAATAGGAGCTATTTCTCTTGATTTTCTATTGCTAGCCTTTTAACCAAAATATCTCTAAATAAAACTGAACTGGCATAGTTACATTTTCGATTAAGGTATTGAAATTAATTTTTAAGAGGCATATTAATACTCAGCCTTGTAAAATGATCCATAGTTTACAATGCATTTTTACATCCTTATCTCATGTAATTCTACAAAATAGTTGATATCTCCATATAGAGATGAGAGAGATAAAGGCATTAGAATTTCCTAGGTATCATGTAAAAATCATTACCCTTAACTTAAAAAATGTAGATTTCAAAACTTTCAGAGAAATGATTGACATGTTTTTATGGCATAAGCGTTATTGGAAGGCAAGACTTAGATGGTTAGGATGCTATGAAATTCTGGCTGTGCAAAGCAGATGATCCTAGAGAAGATACAGAGCAAGCACGGCACCTTGCCCAGTCGGTGCAGCAGACACAGTGTCATGGGCTCATGATACTTTTAGGGATCAAGAAAATATTTTAATTTCTTTTAAAATTTGAAGACATAAATGAATATAACAATAATTACTCCAGCCTGTATCTATCTATTCTGTATTAGATTTGTACTTATACCAACATAGATGTAATGTTTTTTTAATTGAGGATGGGACTCATGAAAGTAAAAGTTCCTAGGGCTTACAAGAGTCATGATACCACCTTGATAGTGAAGTCCTACCAAAAACCTGCCTGGTTGTGCTGACATACTCCATTGGATTCAGATTTCCAAAGGTTGATATGTAAATAGAAAGAAGGAAACAAAAACAACTATCAGGACACTAATGTTCCAAATGAGCTGAGTCTTGCAAAAGAAATGCAGGCCACAAAAAGGACTTTTCAGATTGCATATTGAGTATAAGAGAGATCCAGGGGAGACAGGCTCTTATAAAATGTTGCTTGCTGATGCAGAGAAAGCAGATGTGATAGAGATGTCTGTTACTGCCTGCCCTGTGCAGATTGCTTTGATATTTATTCATTCATCGACTCATTCATCTCAAAGGCCCTTATTCCCTATCACAAGACAGAGCCCTATCTGTCCCACAGCTAAATGGACCATGCCTGGACAGCTGATCTATGAGTAGCTAATCCACAAGCTTGCCAGCAATCTTGGACTTGTGTGGTGTGGCTTGGAGAATGGGTCAGTCATAGCCCCTTTCTCATGAATTTGAACTAAATGTCACAGAGGGAAGCTCCTCTTAGTAATGAAACAGAAACAAAGAGATATAGAATGTAATTGAATCACTTTAAGAGAAGGAGTACTAGGGTGATCCCTAGACAGCTGCTGAGCTCTCCAGAGCAACCTCCAATTCCAAGCCAATCCCCAGCTCCAGTTCCCATAAGGTGCCATCAGTATTGTCCCCATTCTGGAGTTTCAAGTAAATCTCTTTTCTTCAGCTGGATCTCTGGTGCCTATTTCTTGCAAACAGTCTTAATGAGAATAGAACTATTCAACTCATGTTTTGCTCCTATCTGCTATTTTGAGAGGTATTTCCCTATGATCTGTAAAAGATGGCATAAACATTGGTAAGAAGAACTATGAGGAAATGTCACTTTCCTTAATATGAAATCTGTTACCTCCGGTGGAAGGAGAATTAATCAATGAACTAAAGCCCAGGAAGAGAAAGATGACATATCTACTAGGAATGCTTTTGGCCATAGGAAACGGAAAACACAACTTAAAAGGGTTTGTACTCCAATGGGAAAATATTCTGTTATATAAGATAGTGTCATTTCCCTTGCTCAAACCCTTCTGCTTCCTCTCTGACCTTCTGTCTTACAGGTTCAGCCTCGCTCATTGCTCCCTACCGTTCCCAATCTTATTTTCTTCATAGATTAAGGAACCACAGTTAGTAGTTGGTCATTATACCAACTACTTATTTCCCACAGGGCTCTGAAGAAAACATGCACAGAGATGATAAAACAAGACAATGCCAAATTGATTGCTTTCATTTTATCCCAAATTTTAGTGTAGGGTTTTTTTTTTTCATTCCCAATTATTGCATAATATAGCATTCTTATTTGTTAGAGTTGACAGCATGGGAGACCCTATTCCCCTGAGCAAGTTTGGTCTGAATGTCCTAGAATGCAAAATGTTAATAGTCTTGCTCTTTCATTTCCTTTACAATTCCAAACTGGAACCTTGGAGCTTACTGCTGCATGCAGGAAAAGGCTGATATTTGCATCTACCCAGTATTGGAAGAGCCACAGAAAGTGAAAATAGAAGGGCAAGAGTGTGCCCCCTAAGGGAAGAAGTGATCTCTGCTAGTTTCAGTATCCTGAACTATCTTCCACAGGTCTTAAAGAATCTTCGTCAGTATACCAAAATTAGATGATCACAAGTTCAAATCTCTACTTATCTCCCTCCCCTAAAATTCAAGAGGGTGAAATATACTCCAAAATGTTGCTGCACCAACACTCTGATCCCCACCATCCATACAATTTATAACAAACAAGCAGAGCCTTTGCACTGGGCATTCTTTCTGCACAGAGTAGTCCTTCTGTTCTGAGAGCCCCCACCTAAATTGGGTTCTAGCACCAGAACAGCTGGTAACTCTGCCCTAATAGGAAATGCAGGGAGCTGGACATAGGTGTTTATCATGTGCCTTTCACAGGATACTTCTTTCACCTGGAGGATGGCCTAATGTGTGGTTGTCTGATATACTGGCAGATAATTTTGTGGCTCTTGTCTGACCTGGTCCAGTTTATGCCTGTCTGAAGATTGCTCTGGCCCTGGGAGCCTGATGTTGTGTTCTTGGCATCCCAGGAAAATCCTGCCTGGGGCAGACCCTGGTTCTTCAGCTGGAAGGTGCAATTCAATACACCACTACAAAAGAAAATAAGTTTAAAGATTGATTATTTACAGATGCTGGACGGGGAGGGAGCAACTAGTCAGAAGGGCAGTCCTCCATCCCCAGTCACAGGAGGCAGGAATGAAGAGTCAGGCAGAGAGAGAGTGTGGCAACTAACAGCGTGTGTGTGTGTGTGTGTGTGTGTGTGTGTGTGTGTGTGTGTGTGTGTGTATACACACATATATGTATAGGAAAAGGATGTAGGTCACTATGTTTGGGAGCAAAAGCCTGAATGGTTCGTTTAAAGTAAAGGAAGCAGCAGAAAAAGTGAGGAGCCCCATCTTGTAAGCAACAGCTATGCCTCTAAGCTCTTATCTCTGGCCACAGGCTTGAGCCATTGGGTTCTACTTTTAATGCTTAGCCAGCAACTTTTGCTGTGTGATTTCCGTCACACCCTTACATATTCCTAAGAGCAACTCCCTCGTTTCTTCCTGTCTTTGCTCAATTACCTCCTTAACAAGGCCCATTTCCAATCCCTATTTAAAATTTCAGTTTGCCATTGACCCCCAGATTTCCCATGCCCCTTACCTGCCTTTTTTCCATATCATACAATCACGTTTTAACATATTATATATAATTTACTTATTTACTATGTTTATTGTTTATCTGTGTCTCTTCCCAGAATATAAACTTGAAGGCATGAATCTTTATTAATTGATGTATTTCAGGTTTCTAGAACAGTGTCTGAGAAAGAATGAATAGTGAATGAATGAATGAATCTAATACCAAATGAAAACTATGGAAGTGGTTCCCCTATTGAGTCCCACTCCCCTTACATATAATAGTATTTCTCAAGCAAAGTCAGCATTTACAGAACCCAAGGTATATTATAACCTCAACCCATATATTTTCCTGTCATCATTCGGAATTATCTGAACATTTTTGTCTAATTTAATACATAAAAAGTGGTGGCTTATTTTAATTTGTATTCCTTTAGGAAATAATATGGTTGATTTTTTTCATGTTTGTTTGCATACTAGTTAAATCCATCATTTATGAACTATTTGAGGTATTGCTTATTTATTTATTAGAATGCTTATATTCCATCTACTATGTATGTTCTATAATATTAGTTACTGTTTATTGAGTGTTTTTCTGTGTACCTATGTTCTTAATAACTCTATAATGCTAAATATAATCCAGCTACAGCTAAAATTCTACATAGCTATGCATTAATAATACAGAATTATATTAATACTAGCCTATACACCATACAAAGGAAATAGTCAAAGTCAATAGTACCTCATTTCGTGAGAGTTTACTTTATGTCTCATAACAACAGTGCAAGGTAGGTATTATTACTGCTTTTGTTGCATTGATGAAGAAATTGAGGGTCAGAGAGGTTTAGTAACGTGACCAAGGTCACACAGCTGGTAACTAACAGTTTAAGTCCAGCACTAATGCTCTTGTTTACCAGTTACAGCTATGCTATATATACATTTTCCTTGGTATATAAAGTCTTTGTATTATGTGTTTAAATATACAGCTCTAGAGCTGGATGGGGTTTTGGTAGATGTTTTAGTGATGGAGCCTAAAAATTATCCTTAAGTCTATTAAGCCTAATACAATACTTGCTGATTTATTATAAAAGAATTTTTAAGGCACTTTATTCTTAGTGATAGTATGTCTATAATCACCACTTCACTTTAAAAATGGAATTGTATTGGTAGCCTTGATTTTTAGCTAGTTGTTATTGGCCTTTAGGTGGTGTTAATTAATATATTTATTTTACAAGGGAGATGAATGGGAATTTTTGCTGCTTAAAAACATGGATAGACTCCTTTTTGTGCTCTTGAATTTAAGAAATTTTAAAGATTATGTTTTGATAGGCATTCAGATTATATTTGCAGAATGTGTTCTTCATTGGCTTAGTCTCCTTACTAAGTATAGTTCTAGTATTTCAGTTTTTTTTTTAACTTTTATTTTAGGTCCGGGGGTATGTGTGCAGGTTTGTTATGTAGATAAACATGTGTCACGAGGGTTTCCTGTACTGATTATTTCATCACTCAGGTACTAAGCCTAGTACCCAATAGTTCTTTTTCCTGCTCTTCCCTCTCCTCCCACCCTCTACCCTCAAGTATTTCAGCTTTACCTGAGATGTTAGATAGACAGTTCTTATCTTGGTTGAAAAATGTGTTTGAACAGGTTTTTTAAAAAGTATGTTTTAATTACTGAAATAAATAATAGCTTGTCTTCAGAGCTTTCCTTAGACTCTTTATTATTTCCTCTTGGAATATTTATGTTACATGTTAAACTGTTTATGATTCTGAAGACATCAGAATAGTGAGAAAAACTGATTTTTTAAAATGTTATTTCTTCATATCTCTTCTGAGAGGGACACTGAATGGATGTTTTACTAATATGGGTCCAGAAAAAAAAAATAATTCTGATGAGCAGAAGATCATGCAAAATTCTCCTCTATAAGCTATCAATATCATTAAAAAAATAGTTTTAACCATTTGTATGAAACAGGAAGAAAGCTATTAAAAACTGCTAATAAAAAATAGGTGCTTATTTTTGTGCTAATCCTAATTACTGATAATGCATGCTTATGTTTGTCAGTCATTATATGGCACTGTACCAATCAGTGGATGACTGAGACTCAAGCACTCACACATGTAAATTAACCATTAGATTTTTTTTTTTCTTTTTTACTTAAGTGAGTCATAATGGAAAGCAACTCTAGGTTATAAAAAAAATCTTTTCTCTTTAATGCTAATGAAATGTCTCCACTCTCTGTATTAGCAGACTACCCTTATTGGTAATCTGTAGCCTTCTCTTTTGTTCGTGGTGGTAATGAAATGCTGGGTGCTGAAAAAGCCAGCTCTCCAAGAATGTGTGGCCAATTGTCTTCTGTTCACTTATACTGTAAAATTACTGTTCCCCGGCAAGGCCGAACAAGTGCAGGGACAAGATCAAAAGAGTATACATTGGCACCCGGCTACACCAAGTGACTCCTGCTTTATTAATTAGTCATAGCTTCTCCAAGCTCATTTACTCTGATAGGGCAAAAACGTTCTGAAATATAAAAACAGCAAATTGTAACTCAACCACAAGCCTTTACTGTTTGCTTTCTTCAACTTTCAGTTTAAACCTTTGCATTGTGTTATAAGCTAAATGTCCCTTCACTTTTCTAAACCCAAGGGCACAAAAGCTTTTTTACATTTTTTTCAGAAATATTAATGATATAGTCAAATGACCATTTTTATTCTCTAAAATCGGGAAGCCTTTCATTGATATCAGTCTTTTTAAAAGTCAGTGTATTGGCAATGTAATTTAAAAGTGCAGTTGCTATTAAAATGTGCAAGCTCGTTCTGTCCTCTCATCAGAAATGCCACTGGTGTTCAAGCATTTGAAAAGGACTTTCTCTGTCAGTGCTTTTGCGGAAGCCAAATTTGACAGTGATCCTAAACTCCAAATTAAATAATATCAGCACTACTTTCCTTTTCATTTATTCACTATTTTTGAAGTTCCAGAAGTCTTTTTAATTTAAGGAATCTTTGACAGTTTTTTAGTTAAGAACCTGAGACAGAAAAAAAACAACAACTGTACATCCCTATTTCATGGTTTTGTTTTATTTTGTTCAGGTGGGAAAGAAATAATTAAACCTTTGATTAAGATATTCATTGTAAAGAGAAAAGTGATTTAGACCTGTGCAACCCAGGTTATTGTTAATTGTGCTATAACCATTCAGTTTGTAACTTTTAGTATTTTGATTTAATTAAAAGAATTCACCAATTTCTATTTCCTCTAATGGGGTTTGAAAATTACAGTGTACTCTATCTTGCGGATATATGTAAAGCAAGTTATCCTGAGATTATTTGAAATGTGCTATCAAAGAAAGATCAAAACATTTTTACACTAGGAGTATTAAAGCCCATGTTATTAATACTTAGGGAAAGTTGCAATGATTGATGTCAGTCTTCATTACACATTTATTTTTGGAGTCAGCTTCCTTCCTTCCTTAATTGTTGTCTTTCTTTGTGAATTTTAAAAGCCTTTAGAAAAAGTTACATCATAAAGCTTACTTTGTAACTTGAATTTAAAAAATAATTTTAGGAAAGATCAATAGTTATATTTCTCTGTAACGTAACTTGGATGGAATAGTTTTATCTGTATTATGCATTTCTAGTATTGTCACAAGTTATTTTTTAAGGGAGTATATTAGCCATTCTTGAAAGATTTTTTTTTTTTTTTTTGGTAGAAGGAATATTTGTGTTTGTGAAGGTTAGCAGAGGCTGGCTGTGCTGGAAGTGACTGCAGTGCCTTTTGATTATTCATGGACAGTAATAGAAGGCACTTAAAAAGAACAATGAAATTGCTTATTTTTGTGATGGGCCATCTGTTGAATTGTTTTGTGCAACAATTGCACAATAGTATCTATGTCATATCATTCTATTTTCAACAGCAGCTGATTATGTCTCACTGGCTACTTGTCCTTATTTCTAAAGGCCCATGACCATTTAAAGTCACCTTTCCAGGGACCTTTGCCAGAAAGGTATTAGAAATCTCAAACAGCCTGTGTATTTTATTATTACTATTTTTTCATCTCTCTTTTTCTGGGGGGGTGTGGGAAATGGGTAGGAAGAGGAGGAGGGTATTGGTCATGTTAGTTCTAATTAATTAGACTTCCTAAATGTTTAGGATAATTATCTATGCTTTCCACCTGTATTTCTATAAAAGAAGTTATCATAGAACCATTTGGTAATTTGTGTAGAAATGATAGGCTTGTGAAAAAGAAGAGTCAAGTTTAAAGGACTGCTATACAGTGTTTCATGCTTTTAATTATCTACTCTTTTCTTCATGATGATAATTAGAATTTTTCCCTTGGAATTTACTTCCATCTTAAAAAAAAAAAAAAAAGATGCTCCATTAGCAAATTTGTTAGAGAAGTGAAATTAAAATAAAACAAATGTGTTGTTGTCAATAGGTCACTGACATTGCTGATGCCATGATTCTGAAACAGCTTTTTGAAAATCTGTTCAAAAACGGGGTCGTCGTTGTGGCAACATCCAACAGGCCACCGGAAGGTAAAAACAAACATTGTGCTAGTCTCATCCAATTAGGTGGAAACTAACAAGCTTTTCAAAATCCGTAATTTTTACTAAGTTTATTGTGTTCATAAACCTGATTACTTTGCTTGTTACTAATTTTATAAGTGGCTTAATCTGAAAAATCAGTTGGTATTTGTATTTGAAAAGTTTTATATTCTCATCAAGCCAAAGCTAGTTGATTCCCATGTTTGGTATACTTGCTGTTTTTTTGTTTGTTTCCCCTAAATATTAGATATGTCATATTTGCTTATCAAAAAATGCAGGCCTTTTGGACTGCTTTTTATGGGCCATAAACGAAACTCAACTAAATGAAAGATGAAACTCATAATTAAATTTTAGAAAAAGACCGAAAGCTTGCTTGCATGAATAGTTTCTAATACTTCACTTAAATTATAATGTCTAAAAAAGCACTTGTGGCTTATTAGAAAAGTACTTAAAAATTAAAGTACAACTAATATTTAGATTAAAAACAACAAATTTAAAATCTTGCATCTTTCAGCCCATCATGTACTTAGTTAAAGGTCTAAGAATCCGAAAATATTTCCTGAAAGACTTAATGGGAACATCTTTTTGCCTGGAGTGCTGTTTCTCCAGATATCTACATGGCTAAGCCCTTACCTCCTTTGTCTTTGCTCAAAAGTTACATTGCCAGTGAAGCCTAGACTTCTTTCCCTGTTTGAACCTACAACACATCCCTTTTTTCTTGTTACTGTTTCCCTTTACTCTGCTCTCTCTTTTACCTATAGCACTATGAACCTATAATTTACTTATTTATTATATTTATGGTTTCTTGTCTGTTGCCTTCCAGGTTACAAAAGCTTCATGAGGGCAGTGATTTTTATCTCTTCTGTTCTCAAATGTATTCTCAGCACCTATAACTGTCTTGCACATAGATGGTTCTCAGGAAATAGTCTTAGAATGAACATTGGATGATTGCATGTTTTAAAAAGATCTCTCTGGCTGCAGTGTTGAGAATAGAATGTGGGTGTGGGCTTTCAGAGTTGGAAGTAAGGAGACCGTTTAGGAGACTACTGCAACAATCTCAAGGGGAGGTGATGGAGCTGTCAACTGGTGAGAAGTGGGCAGGCTTTGGATATACTTTGTAGACAGAGTCAGCAGGATTTACTGATGGAATGGATCTAGGATATGAAAAAAGAGAGAGATCAAGAGGGACTCAAAGGTTTTGGCCTGAACAATTGGAAGGATGAAGTTGCTGTTGACTGAGATGCGGAAGACTATGGAAAAAGCAGATTTGGATAGGAAGGTGGAGGTAGGGGTTTCTGTGATGACAAGGGGGATGCATATAAGAGAGTTTGGACTTCATTGGAAAGGTTTGGTCTGGAGAGATGCATTTGGCAGTCATCAGTCCTAAAGGAGGCAGGAAAAAAAGAGCAGCTGGTGAGGTAGGAGGAGAACCAGGAGAGTGTCAAGTGAGGAAAAGAAAAGTAGTACAAAAAAGGATTGATGATTACTTCTGTTAAATGCTGCTACAAGCTGAAAATGAGATTGAGAATTAACCATTGCAATTAGTAACATGGAATTCATTAGTGAGTCTGTAATGTAATAGTGGGAACTTTTTTTAAAAAAGTAAGCTGTGCCACATTGGTGGTATATATTGAATTTAAAATTACTGACAGACCCAGATCTTATTATGTAGCCTGCTGTGAAACGGTCTCTCTCATTCTATGTTTGTGTAGTGGATTTCTTTTTCTCCCTATTACATTTCAGCTTTTAGCCTACATTGTTCCATTCTATTGATTTTTATTAAAGTATTTTTAATTTTAATTTTTGTTTTTATTTATTTTTGTTTTGCAAATGGAGTATGTTTGAAGTATTTTTGAAGTAAGATTCTAACATAATTTTTTTTGGCTATCCCTACTATGACATTTATCCATTTGGTAATCATGTTTCTATATCTTCAGCCCTTCCTTAATTAAAATGTGTAAATCAGATAGAACTAAATTAAGTTACCTGTAGCAATCCACTGGAGACCTTATCTGAGGGAGACATCAATTAACTAATCAACACTTTTTGGATCCAGTTATTCAAACAATTATAGTTATACCTCATCCATTATACTACAAAAGAATTATGAGTAATTTTGCAGATGTACTTATTAAAATCCATGTAATGTTATACACAGCATTCTTGTGATTTACTAATGTTAGCAACCCTATGGGATGCTAAGGGAGCCAAAGGAGTGAGCTTTTTAATATTAGATCATCTATCTAGTTGGAAGTGAGGCTTGTCTCTACTATAGCTGATGTGTTGATTTGATAGTGGCATCAGTATTACCTTTAGACATTCAGTGATGAGCTATGCTCATAAATAGCAAAGAGCTAGAAAAATTTTGGAAGCCCCATAGCAAAGATTGCTGAAAGGATAATTAGACTGCTCAGACTACAGCAATGTGGTTAACTAACTGAGGAAGGACAGCTACAAGGAGGGGTTAAGGAATGTTTTGCAGCTCTTAGCTTTTTAGGAGTGAACAAAGCTACTCGTCCATTAGGGTAGCCTGCAGAAATCCGAGCTGGAGCCACCCTTCTGGAGAAGACTGAAAGTTCAAGATGCAGAATTGCAAAAATTGGACAAACCTAGAGAAAGCCTTTTCTAAATATAAACTGTGGAAGGGATGGGATGCTTGTCATATACCAGGTTTTTTAGCCACAGCAGACAATCATCATAAATAACTTAATATTTTTATGTAACGAAGATGATGTGTGTGTGTGTGTGTGTGTGTGTGTGTGTGTGTGTGTGTATAATTTTATTTGTGGGGGAAAAAATTCAGAGAGCCTAAGCATATCAGGAAAAGGTAAAACTGTAAGACAAAGAATGGAGCAGTGATTGCCAAGGTCTGGGGTGAGGAGGTGTTTGACTACAAAGGGGCAGCCTCAGGATGCAACTGCTGTATCCTGATTGTAGTGGTAGTTACATGTGCTAAAAATTCATAGAACTGTAGGCTAAAAAAGTTACATTATTATATGTAAATTAAAAACAAATCGCATGATTAGTGAATGACAGAACAAGGACTAGAACTTAGGTTTTGTAACTTTTTTTTTTTTTGAGACAGAGTCTCACTCTGTTGCCCAGGCTGGAGTGCAGTGGTGTGATCTTGGCTCACTGCAACCTCTGCCTCCCAGGTTCAAGAGATTCTCCTGCCTCAGCCTCCTGAGTACCTGGGACTACAGGTATGCACCATCACACCTGGCTAATTTTTGTATTTTTAGTAGAGACGGGGTTTTGCCATGTTGGCCAGGCTGGTCTTGAACTCCTGACCTCAGGTGATC